GGGATATATTTAAAAAAGAAGAAAAAGCTCAAAAGGGGGCTAATAATTCTGACTTCAACTGTATATATATATATATATATATATATATATATATATATATATATATATATATATATATATATATATATATTAGTGCTGTCAATCGATTAAAAAAGTTAACTAATTAATCGCACCTTTTTAAAAAAATTAATCGCGATTAATCGCATTTAAAATACTGAAACTTGTAATTTTGCCTATTTAAATGTAAAATTAATGTAAACGCAAGAAAAAAATATTTAGATTCAAAATATTATTGTTTAATAGAATTTTTGTTTAACTTGTAACACAGATTTCTTCATGTAAACAACATACCCACAATAAACCATCAAAATCCTGGCTTGACAGCCATATTTATTACAGAAATTAAAACACAGGCATGTTAATGACATTTAAATTTCAAAACAATCAATGCCATTAAAGAAAGCATTGATTTCCATGTTGGATTCAAAGTAGACTGCAAAAAAATGCCAAAATACAGGAATTGCAGATAAGGAAAATGAAAAATTTTAATAATAAACTATAGAATACAAACTGTTGCACTCATTGTAAAGTTTTATTGCTGTGAGTTGAGAACATTAATTATAGAGTAGAAACAATTTTGCCTAATCCTCCTTTACATTCATCCAGTTGCTAAGACTAGGTGTATCCCGCAAGTGCACAGAGACTCCCAAATGCCCGCAAATGAATGATAATTTCTTGCAAACCGGTCGTTAAATACATTGCACACCCCTCTCGCCCCTACTCAGATACATCGCTCACTCCACCCCTGACACCCCTCAACGGGCCTGACACAGACACACACACAGACAGACACACACAACGCGCTGCAGACGTTTTGGCCCCAACGGCCTACCATACTGAAGCGACTCCCCTCAGATTCAACACGCATGATCACGTTCATCAAATTTGCTAAGCGTCCTAAACTAAGCGTCCTAAAGTATTACTGTATTTCACAAGGATTCTGACACAACAACGCGAAGCATACGCTTTCGTTGCGTTTAATGAGGAAACATGCTAAACTTGGAGGGCTCATGCTGAAAGGCAGAGTAATGCCCTGTCTTTGACAGCTCGCGACTTTACCAGACGTTCTGAGTGCATTTACATAAGACACCTATACTCCGATTTTAATATGATTAAGATTATACTTTAAAAATTCTAATCGTGTAGCCTTAAAAGGAACCTTACCTTAAAGGAACACCGAGTCATGAAATGTGGAGGACTTTCTTTCTGTTCGCCATGCGGTATCAACTTACAACAGATGTCAAAAGTTAAAAATGAAACACCCGAAATTGCATGAAATTCTGGATAACTTGTGATTCAACTAATTGTTTTATACTGGAACTTGCCTTCAAAAAGTGCTTCCTTGGTCTTATCCACATTTATTGCATGTTGAACACATGTCCACCACAACAGGAAGTAAAAAAAACCTGAACCGCGTTAATTGCGTTAATTTTTTTAACGAGCTAATTATTTAAAATTAATCGCATGCGTTAACGCGTTAATTTTGACAGCGCTAATATATATATATATATATATATATATATATATATATATATATATATATATATATATATATATATATATATATATATATATATATATAAAGCTGAAAATTCACTTGTACATAAGTCGTCACCTTGGAGTTATAAGGTTGAGCTTTAAAGTTTTTGCAGTCCATAGCAAACAGTATGTGTGGAACATTTGTTTTTTTAAATAAAAAGTCTTAAAATGTACACAACTTATAAAAAACCATCCCATAATGTAAATAAGTTGTCATTTAATTTGAATACCTTTGGTAGCAATTACAGCCTTTTTGAATATGATGTGAGCTTGGCACACCGGTCTTTGGGAATTTTTGCCCATTCCTCTTTGCAGTACCTCGCAAGCTCTATCAGATTGGATGGAAAGCGGCGATGTATAGCCTTTTTCAGACCTCTTCTGAAATGTTCAATAGGATTTAGGTCTGGACTCTGGCTGGGCCACTCAAGGACATTCACTGAGTTGTTGTGAAGCCACTCCATTGATATTTTGGTGGTGTGCTTTGGGTCATTGTCCTGCTGAAAGATGAACCATCGCACCAGGCTGAGGTCAAGAGCACTCGGAAGCAGGTTTTCATTCAGGATGTCTCTGTTCATTGCTACATTCATCTTTCACTCTATCCTGTCTAGTCTTCCAGTTCCTGCTGCTGAAAAACATCCCCATGGCATGATGCTGCCACCACCATGCTTTACATAGGGATGGTATTAGCCTGGTGATGAGTCATTCCTGGCTTTCTCCAAACGTAACGCCTGGAATTCACTGTAAATAGGTTAATTTAGTCTCATCAGACCACAGACTTTTGTTTCTTATGGTCTGAGAGTCCTTCAGGTGCCTTTTGGAAACTTCCAGGTGGAGACTGTCTTCCGTCTTGCCACTCCACCACCCTGATTGGTGGATTGCTACACAGATGGTAGTCCTTCTGTAAGTCTCTCTCCACAAAAGAAGGAAAAAAAAATCTTTTTTTCACATTGTCATTATGGGATTTTATGTGTAGAATTGAGGAAATAAATGAATTTAATCAATTTTGGAATAAGGCTGTAACATAAAAAATGTGGAAAAAGTAAAGCGCTATGAATACTTTCCAAATGCACTGTATTTTGAACACATGAATAAAGAGAGGGCATAGAAAGTCCAGAAAGTAGCTAAAATCTAGTCAGGGGATGTAAAAAGGTTGCTCTTGATGGTTTCATATGAGAATAGAGTTTGATATTGATTTGAACATAATTGCATCTTGTCTTTTATTACAGCTCTTCATTGACATCATTTAAACAGTCTGTGTGTGTATTTGAACTTTGAGCGTGTATTTGAGCCGTTCTCTATGGACAGTTTTGCTCAGTGTCACCAGATGTTACAAAGCTAAATATGACAAAATATCTTTTGGGATTCTCTCAAATAGAAAAGCAATTCATAAATAAAATAGCCAGTTCTTTATTTTAAAATGCAAAAAGCTTTCTTTTAAGATAGAGATATTTTGCATGGGGTTTCAATTGGGTCTACAAATAAGCATTTATTTTCACAAAGCCAAATTCTGTCTCAAGTAAACTGTCTTCACAAATTTCACTTCTCTTTAAATTATTCAGCACACAAAAACATCTCAAACATTTATAAGCCCATTCTTTGAGGGATTTATACAAAGCTTGACCTCCCTGTTTGACATAAAGGACTGGCTCAGACCAAAGACGAGATAGCGGATCAAGGCACGAACATAGTCTCTACAGTTGGGATACACACAGACACGATACGGGAATTCAATCAAAAAAAAAAAAAAAAACGAGTCTTGAGTAATAGCATTACAAAAATGACAAAGAATTGTGCCTGTAAAGAGCAGATCGACTTAAAAATATATATATAAATGCAGAGCTGTCAGTACAAATTCATTTATTCCTCACTCTTTCCATTTTGCATGGAAAACGAAAAGGGAGAACTATCGGAGACAAGATAGAGATACAAAAAGTGGTGCTCGCGGTAATGGAAATAATAAGGCAGAGACTTGGTGAGATGGCGGTAAGCTGAGCGTGTCATTATGCATTCATTGAGATTAGGTTATGTCATCTCTCGCTCTCTTATAAAAGAGCGGGATAAAGAGAAAGAAATGAGGATGGAAAGACGGCGCTTACAGTGAATGAATACCGTCTGATTGCAGTAACCGCTCTGCCGCTGTTGGACATTGAGGGCAAGCAGATTGGTTAATTGAAAGTGATCCGCTAATGAGGTAAATTGACTACATTACCCACGTCTGCCTGTCTCTCAGGGATGGCACAATGGGGGCTGAGTTTCTCACGCTGACTGTAATGGTCTCAATTATGCGGTTGTCTGAAACAGTGTGTCTCTGTGGCTGAAAGGTTAAGGACTCGGGCTGTTTCTCTTCTAATGAACCCCCTCCTCAAACTGTCAAACTCACTGCCTCGATGTTTCCTTCCTCTGCTCTTTGCCTTCTTCTCTTCTACTCTTTTAGTAAGATATTTTTCAGCCCCTCTTTCACTTTGTGTCACCTTCAAGTGGGTTGTGGAAAAAAGAGGGGAAATGAAAAGTGGAATGAAAGAATGATTGGTGAAGGATGGAGAGTCGGGAAGGATAAAGTACGAGGAATGAAGATTGGCTATAAAGGAGTAAATATTGAATGAATGATTGAATGAATGAATGAATAAATGAATGAATGAATGAATGAATGAATGAATGAATGAATGAATTGGTAAATGATGGATGGATGGATGGATGTTATGAATCAACAAATGGATTGATTGGTTAGTGTTATGAATAAACAAATAAATTGCTTATGAATTGGATGGATGGATTAAGTATGGATGAGGGACTGAGAAAGAAAGAAAGAAAGAAAGAAAGAAAGAAAGAAAGAAAGAAAGAAAGAAAGAAAGAAAGGAGGGATGAATGAATGAATGAATGAATGAATGAATGAATGAATGAATGAATAAGACAAAAATAAATATAAATAAAGGACAACAGGAAGGATGAGGAATAAATGAACAAAGAATTAGAATAGATGAAAGATGGAAATAACATTGATTGAATTGAAAAGGTTGATTAAATGAATGTAAGCTAATATGGAAATACAATAGAAGGAAACACTGAATGAATCAAAGGCAAATAAAGAAAAGGCAGAATGAGGGAATGACTGAAACTATAAGATGTGTGGAGTGGCTAAAAGAACAATTATGAACGAATGATGAAAAGAAATGGTTAAAGGAGAACGAAATAATGAATAATTGAAGGGCAGGACAGAAAGTAATAAGGGACTGAGTGTAATATAAAAAATGAAACAATCGAAATGATTAAAAGGAATGAATGATATATGGATGGATGGACGGACGAACAGACAGACACAGACAGACAGACAGACAGACTTAATCATTGGGTAATGTAAGGAATAAAGCAAGACTGATCATTGGTTATGCTTTTCCTCACAGGAAACAGAGATCCTGAACACAGCAGTGCTGAATGGGAAGACGGTGGCAGTGCCGGTGAAGGTGGTGACTGTGGGCACTGATGGGACCATTACAGATGTGTCAGACACTGTGCAGTGCCAGTCCACTGATGAAGATGTGGTTAAGGTCAGCCTCTTGTTCTCCTTCTTTGATCGTAATGAATCACTCAGATGAACAAATGAATCAAAGCATACTGTGTCATGTTGGCTCTTGATCAACTTGGCAGCACTGAAACGAAGCTCAGAATAAATTTCATTCATAATTAATCTTTTTTTCTTTTTTACAGTGAATAATAGAGGTTATAATGATTCAGCATGTATGTACACAGACACTGATTAGAAATCTAAAAAACTCTTTAAGAATCAATCTGCACTTCAGTCGATCTGTTTGAATGTTCATTTCATACCTTCACTGAATTAAACTAAATCTCAGTCAAGCACCTTTCTGTTTTTTCTCACTCTTACATTCGTTCAAAAGAAGTTTCTATATCAGCATGTTGCAAAAAACATCATCAGATGTTATGTCTCATGACTAGCATACAATACATAAAAGAGTGCTTGTATTATAAAATTATTAAATTATAGAAATAAAATAGTTTGAGAGCTGAAGTGCTTAGGATAACTGTGAATTAATCTTAGCATTTTTAGCCCATTAATTGTTTAAACCAGTCACATAGGGCCCTATCATACACCTGGCCCAATGTGGCGCAAGGCGCAACGCAATTGTTATTTGCTAGTTTGAGCTTGGTGCAAGAGTCGTTTTGACGTTTTCTGCCACGCTGTTTAAATAGCAAATGCATTTGCTCTCATATGTGTGCCCATAGGCATTCTGGTCTAAAAAATAAGGCGTTCTGAGGCGCATTGCTATTTTGAGAAACTATAATAGATTTTTCAATAGACCAAAACAAAGCTGGTCTAAAGTCGAGCGCAGAGCGCGTAAGTTATGCGCCTCGCTTACACACTGCTTAATACACACAAGTTGTAGAGCAATACGCAAATACCTTTACAAATGAAAAATAATTAAAATATTAAGGATATATACAGGATATAAATATAAAGGATTAAAATATTACAAAACATATTATTGTCTAGCCTACCTAAATAAATAAAAAATACTGCCTTCATGCCTTCTTCATCTCTGGAGGCTTTTTTAGTTCATTCATAACAACTTGTTTTTGTTTAATGTTATCATTATTAGCAGTATTATTAATTAAATCCATATTTATATTTGTTTTATTAAAAAAACAAGCTTAGATTTGCCCACCTGTCAGGTTTCAGACCATATGGGGCACAGCATGTGTATTTGGATCTAACTTTTTTAACTTTTTTTGAACACTTTGTTATTATTGTTCATTTATTCTTTTGCTGGAAATTAGAACTGAATTTAGAAATAGTTTTGAAACAAATCTTTGCGCTTAACAAACAAAATTAATTATGTATAGGCTAATGGATATCTGTGCGTACAAGGTTTCCCTATCCACGAGAGCAAAAGTGAAAGTAGATTATGAGATGCCTTATCTCTCATTCTCGCGCTGTAGATGGTGTGTTTAACTGTTTTCTTGCTAGTGAAATGCTCCGTTTTTCCACTTACACTTACTTTACGCCATGTAAATATCAAATGCGCTTATGGCGCGACGCAACTGACTCTTAAAGGGAATGGGAGATGAGACTCTCTGATTGGTTTATTCTCAAAACACACTTATAATAACTCATTAAGAAAATAAGCTCAACCCTTTTAGACCATGCGCCATGGCGCAAAGCAATTTTTTATATTCGCAAAAGTGGATTCTGACACACCCTGAAATCGTTTGCGCCCTGCGCTTTGCATTTTGCGCATGGACCGTCAAAACACAGCCCATAATGTTGCTAAAAAGAAAATAATTTGGTGTATTTGGTGTAATATATTTTCTCGATAAAAAAATGTAACTTTTGCAACATGAAGTGAATTTTTTCCTATTTAATAATATTTATTTGGAGATTATTTGTGTTATATTTTTGTTTATTTAAATTAAATTCATTGCCTTGGAATTATAAGATTCTGATTATTATGAGATACTGAGCTTCAAAGTTTTGGCATTCCATAGCAAACAATATGTGTGTAACAGTTCTCTTTCATACATTAACATGGCAGAGACCCTAAATGTACTCTAAATGTAAACTATCAAAGTTCTCTTACATTTGCAAAATGTGTAAAAGAACAGGGCAAATGCAGATAAAACCTTCTAATTCTAAAAAGTCATTTTCTTAAAAAAAAATTAAAAAGGGTGTTTTAACTATAGGTTGTTGTTTGAGAAAGTTAAAAATTTGCTTCTATAACATTTATTTAAAGACCCCATATTATACATGAAATAGGGTCATATCTTGGTTGTAAGGGTCTCCAACAACAGTTTAATATGCATGCAAGGTCAAAAAACACTTTCGTGGTCTTATAATCTGCATTTATTTTTACCTAATTATCCCAGTGACTCCTGTATGAATCGTCCAGTGATTTATTTGTTCCCAACCCCTCCTTAGCTCGAAGCTAATCTTCGCTGATTGGACCGATGACAGCCTGTTGCGATTGGTCGACTGCCTTCAGTCAGAGAGTGAAATGCACAACAGCTAATCAGCAATATAAAAGTAATCACAGTTCATACACGCTCGATAGTGTAGGCGTGGATTTTAGCTGCCAGTGGGTCAATGTAAATACAGACTATGGACTTGAAAATTCAGACGATTAACTATTTTATTGAGCAAAAACTCCAAAAACAGTTGAGAAGATCTCCTAGCTTCTCACTCTGCTCTTTTCACAGGCACACACACACATATTGCACACACACACACACTCACTTAACCCTGCTCCGGACGACAACGCGCGCGCGCATACAAACACACACACCTCCGGACGACAGCGCGCGCACACGCACACACAGACACACACACACTACTCCTCTATGGCGCAGCACGCGTCGCGTTTTTAACGTGACTTTGCATGCGATAAGATAATATAGCCAGTTAACCTGATACAGTACACGCGATTACAAGTGACAAATCACAACTAAATACATTTGCAAGCTAGAGTCAACAAGGCAACTTTAATCGCACGTACTTACACTTGAGAAATTGAGGAAGAGAAATCCATCCTGACGTCCATCAGTAAGTTACTCTTTACTGATCCTTCCTTTAACAAACGCTGATGAAGTATTCTTTGTAGCATGGAGTTTCCAGAAGTTTCCAGTAGTTTCCAACTGCTTGGCTATAATGCTGAGGTTTCATCTTTGGGTAGAGACTCAATATATCCATCTGCAGTGTGACTTCAATCGACCGGCATGTTTGTGTGTGTGTGTGTGTGTGTGTGTGTGTTTGTGGGTGTGTGTGTGTGTGTGTGTGTGTGTCTGGGTTACTGCGTCAGAGGGCGGGGCCTCAGGTTTGAAATCTCCCGGGTTTGCGCGTGCACGTGAATAACTTGGTTTCGTTCGTACGTCATGGCGAAACACCTAATGAATCGGTATCAAGGCGACTCGTATGAAGCACTATGAGTCGACTCTTTTATAGATGAATCAACAGTTTTAAACACTGTACACTAACAGATTTAAGCCTTAGCTGGATACTTCACTTCACTTAGAGCTGTGTTACACACTACATGGAGGGGAATTTTCAAAAACCCATAATATGGGCTCGTTAATGTTTAGGATGAATATGTTTATTGTTCAAATTAAGCATACAAGGCTGCTAAATATTTTATCCAGTGCAGATGTTAATTTTATGTAATTAATGTGGTAATGTTTATTGAACTTTATGCTTTTTATAAATTATTGAATTTTATTTACTGAATTATATGCCCATAAATTCAATTAGTATTTGCCCTCTAAGGCTTAATATTAAATTTAAAGACTTTAAAAGAAAACAGACAATGATCTAATGAGCTTAATAAACACTGAAACATGTTTCACTGACTATATATACACACAAATAAAAATGTTTCACATTTGATATATTACCTTTTTAATAACTGTTTTTTAATAATTCTTTTTCAACAGAGTAAAATTTACTATTTCATCTCAATGTAAAAAAAATGCTTCCAAATCATCAAATTTACACACATATTTTCAGTTTCAGTTTTTTTCTCAATTTTAAGAAACTACTTTTTCATTTTGGTCTTTCCCGCTGTCAGTGAAGCAGTCATTCGGAATGACAAAGAAAGCTGATCCTGATTGGTCCTCTTACGTGAATTTGAAATGCTGATTGGCTCACAGAAAGAACCATATTGAGTCAAGCTAGAGTTTGACTTTGTAGATAATTTTTTTTTAAAATAAAAAGTCTTAAAATGTAAACAACTTGAAAAAAAAAACATCCCATAATGTAAACAATTTGTCATTTAAAAAGCATATGTGAATAACTCAATTTTGACAAAAATGTCAGATAGAACCTAATAATTAATTCTAAGGTGGCTGTTGGTTTTTCTTTTTCTTTTATTCTAATGAACAAAGTTTTTAAAAATTAGATTTGGGTCAAAATGACAAAAGGCATGAATCATGGTCTTTCATAATATTCCATTACATTAAAGAGCCCCTATTACGGGTTTTTGAAAATGACCTTTCATGTAGTGTGTAACACAGCTCTAAGTTAGGTGAAATATCTAGCTAAGGCTTAAATCTGAAAGTCCACAATGTTTAAAACTATTGATTCATCTGTAAAAGAGTCGACTCATAAAGGTTCAAATAAATTGTTTTGATAACAAGTCTTTTGCTGTTTCGACGTAACATCGATACGAAACTTAAACCCATCCAATTGTTGTGCACGCAAACCCTGGCTTTATTTTAACCCCCTGGCTCCGCCCACAAACACTGTAGCAGATCCCAGTTGAATCAAGTCATGTAGATGCTGTGCTCAGCTGGATATTATTGGAATTGTGAGGGGAACGTTAGAGTTATTTTCTCTACGCAAAGATGAAACTGTGAAGTCAGTGGTTGAGGGTTTTTTTCTGTCAGTCATTTGTTAAAGGAAGGATCAGAAAAGACTATTGATGTGTGGAATTTTGTCAGAGCTCGAGAGGAACTTTACAGTACACAGTTTATGGACCAGTTTCTTCCTCCAGTTCACAAGTGTAAGTGCGGTTAAAATGGTTGCCGCTTTGTTTTCTCTAGC